AGTGGGTTTGAATTAGAACTGAAAAAATATTTCTTACAACTATAGAAAAACCTAAACATTAAGACTCTCACACTTAAGGCACAGGGGATAAAATGAACTTGGCCTGTGAAGAACAAAAACAACACTAATAATGAGAGATGTGCTTTCACTGTGACTGTTCTGCAGCAAGTGGAGCTTGAGCTGTATGGCTCACTGATCTTCATTCTTTCACCTTCAAGGGCATTACCCTACCATGAACTGGCCCTTCTCTGAAATTCACCTGCAACCTATGCACAGGAGTGGGCCCAGAGCAGACAGGGTCATGCCAGGGCACAGCTGATTAGAGCAGGGGTGCCACTTGACTTATGCTAAGTGTCAGAGCCTCTGTCCTGGTAATTTGATATTTGATGTTCAGTGAGGATATGTTAGTCTTGGTGTTCTATTTCTCTCTTGCCTGAGAATAGCATCTTTGATTTCTGAAATGCATTTTCCATTTTGTTTTTTGTTTCCATTTATCACTTTAGTTTCTTTAAGTCACTAACAAATGAAGCTGGCATGGTTGGCCAACTTCCTAACACCATTTATTGATCAATCTATCTGACCCAGGCATTGGATATATAGGCACGCGTGCACGCACACACACACACACATACACACACACACACACACACACACACGTTTTTCTCAGGACTTTCTGGCCTGACCTGTTCTAAGCTGGTGACTTAGTAGTTGATCTAAGTCCCATTGCAAATCAGCTGTCGTCAATCTTATTTTCAAAACTGTCTGACTTTTTGACATTGCCCATTTATGTACCCAGATAAACTTTAAAATCATTTTACTAAGGTAGCAGTAAAAATCCAAATGAATTTTTTATAGATTGAGAAATGTGTCAGTTGATTTGGGAAAGAACTGCCATCTTTGCAATATTAGTTCTTCTCATAAAGGAATTGAGATTTGGTAGAAGTTTATGAAAACTTCAGAAATAAACTAAAAATAACACCCAAATTTTTACTGCATAAAAGGATCGCATAGCAAGAAGAAAAAATCAAAAACAAAAGCAAACCAATATGGACAAAATTAAAAGTCAAGCAACAATCTAGGGAAAACCAAGGAAGATAATTATCCTAATATATTAAAGCACCCTCATAAAATGTAAGAAAAATAGAGAACTCTCTAAAAGATAAAATGACAAAACTCATGAGAAAAAGCAATTTGCCAACCATGTATGTCCAACACATAATTTAATAAAATATCACATATCACAAATAACCAAATGCTGCTAATTACAGTAAGTTGCAATTTTTCATTTAATATGATTCTGGGAACACAGGCACTCATATACATTAGTAGAGGGACTATAAGTAAGTATGAATTTTTAGATGGCAATCTGGCAGTAATTATCAAATATCCTTAAATACTCACCCAGCCATTTCAATCTGTGTAAGAATTTTCCTCAAGAAATTGAAAAAATGTGCAAAGATGTTTATACCTGGATGTTCACTTCAGTGTTGTTTATTACAGAAACATATTGTAAATAAACTGAAAGTCCCAAAGTAGGATAGGTTAAGTTGTGGTACAATCACACAATGGAATATTTTATGTCAATATAAATGTATTTAAAGAAAAGGAACTTATGACATATTAAGGTAAAAAGTCAGATGAAAAATAGAGCATGCAGTTTACCAAAATAATATGTTAATACAAGAAAGTATACAGTAACACTATTAAAATAGACTCAAATGAACCTGTCTATGCAAGTGTACATCAACAGAAAAACAAACTGTGGTATATTCACCCACTGGAACACTACAGAGCAATAAACGAAGACAAACTCCAACAACATGTAACAGTATAGGTGAATCTCACAAATATTGTATTGGGCAAAGTTCAGCCTCAGGCCTTATGTAAACTGCATAATTCACAAAATTCTGGAAGACAGAAAACCATCTACAAAAGAGTTTTTTGGTTTCATTTATAAGGCCATACAACCCACTTGGTCAGGTTTGCTAACATTAGCTGAGACCAGGAACCAAAACAAACTCTTACCACACTTGCTTGCAAGAACCTCTTAAAACACAAAGTTTTGCCAGGTGACAAAAAGAAAAGCAGTGTGTTGACCACAATTATTTACATGAACACCCAAGAGACACTGTGGGAGTGGCATTTTATTACAAGTGCTACAGAAAGTTATCTATACCTTCCATTCCAAAAACCAAAGCAGAAAGTAGGTTATTATGAAGTGGGAGATGCTTAAGAGCAGTCATTCATGAGTGGCTTTTCTTACATTTTCCCAGTTCTCTATGATATAATTATATTGATTTTATAATCTAAAACCTACTTTTAAGGTTAGTCAAATGATCATTCTTCAAATTTGATTATTCAACTTTCACATCATGATACAATGTACTTCTTTAACTTAATAGAAAAAAAAATCATACTCTGAAGCAGTCTGTTTACTTACCAGGCAAGAGTTAGGGCTAAAATTAATTTACATAATTTTAAAATTATGTAAATATAAAAATCTAAATTTCTAGGAATGTGCCTAGCCATGTAACATTATCTTTTCAGTCCCCAACCTAGTCCACAACTGAACCCACAGTGCTTAACCCCTAGGGCCCCTGCCTTAGAGACTAGCAACTTTGGCCATCCAATTTCCAAGATGACCTTACTTTCCTTCCTCTTACTCAACCACACACTGGAAGTCAGTCTTTAATTCCTAAAAGATCCCACCTCTATATTTCAATATGCCATCTCTACTCATCTCCATCCTACAACCTCTACCTGATTTCAGGTTCTCACCAGTTTTCACTTGGGCTAGGCAAGAATGTACCCGATTACCTTACATTCAAAATCCTCACCCTATTTGTCATTATTCCTAGAGCCAGAGTAATGATCTCCCTCCACATATAAAGTAGATTGAATATCTAAATTTTTAAAACAAAAATAGTGAAATTGTTTTATTAACATGTTTATAACTTTAAGATACAAGAAGCTTTCTAGAGGATGAAGAAAATCCATAAATGCAAAGAGAGATGTATTTATATAAAAATTTGAAGTAATATAACTAAAGATATCATAAAGTCAACAAAGTCAAAGTCATCATAAATAAAGTCAAAAAAGGAAAACAGAAAAGGTATGTGTAACACAAGAAAAATGGTTAGTGGTCCTAAAATTTAAAAGAATCCATACAAAATAACAAGAAAATGACAATTCAAAAATTGGCAAAGGATAATAAAAAGAGATATTTTTATTTGTGTTAGCCTATTGATGAGATAACATATTTCCACCTTGAATTAGTAAGATGCAATATGATTGGTAATTTCAACAGGAGGAAAGATATGAGGAAATTAGCTCTTCATTTAGTAGAGAGATGAACTGATACAACTTTTCAAAAAGTAGACTGTAATGTATTTAAGTTAAATACTACTGATCCAGCAATACTAATTTTGGAAGGTGATCTCAGAAAAACAAAGCACCTGAGTGTTAAGGCATGTGTAATCAATGTTTGCTACCCCACTTTTTATAGTTGCAAATACTTGGAAATAATCTGAAAGTCTTCAATAGACAATGATTAAATTAAATGTGGTACATCTATTTCCTACAATATTATGCAGATATCATAAAGAATTAGATGGATTTTTGCCAATACAGAGGGGATGCTCATTATACATAGTTAAAAGAAAAAAATCTGAGCAATATGATTACCACAAACTTTATATACAATGAAGCCTATATTTGTGGATATGCATGCCTTTGTATACCTTGCATAAAATAGAGAAAGTTGTTATTGGAAACATGTCAAATGTTAATACTGGATATTTCGAGAAGGCAGTTTAGAATAAGGCAAGAGAAGATTATGAAAGTTTTCTTCATACTACCTAACACTTAAAATTAAATATGCATTACCTTTAGGTAGCTTAAAAAAATCCTAGGCTGATTTCTTGCTTGAACCTGGCAGGGTCAAAGTCAATATTTCTCCCTTACATTGAAAATTCTTTAAAAAGCAACCGGGAAAATAAGAAACAAAAATGTAAATTTCATTTCAGCTAAACCAGGAGACAATAAAAAAACAACAAAGACCAAATATACGTGGAAAGTCATCTAAAATAGTGGAAGTGGAGTGGGAGGAAGAAGAGATAAAAAGCTACAAAGAAAGCTTCCTGCAGCTGCAGACATCAGCAAACACCAGCAAATCTACCCTTCTCCAAGGCAAGGGTCACCACCTGAGGTGCCAGTACTTGTTTGAAACAGGAGGGGTTGATCAGCTGGCTCAAAAAAAAACCCAGTTGTTTGTTTCCCCAAAAGACCCAGTGACAATTATACAAGGGATTATACACATAAAGACTTTTTGTTATTTAACCTACTGGCTTTGAAAAGATTGAAAAGCTTGTATCACATTGTGCTGGTAAGTCTGTGAGGAAATAGACACTTTCATACATTGCTGTTAGGAAGGTAAATTTATACAACCTCTATGGAGAGCAATTTGTCAATATCTATCAATATGATAGGGAGGGGGGGAATTTTTTATTTTTTATTTTTAGCAGTTCCACCTCTAAGAACTTATCCTACAAGGACAGTACACTTACATTCATTAAAAAAAAAAATGATTGTATAACCATACAATAGAAAAATATGTAGCTGTTAAGGGAAAAAAGGAAGAAAAATTCTTTATGAGCTAATATGGAAAGTTCTTCAACAACTTTTGTATTTAAAGGGTTAAATACAAAAAGCAAGATGCAGAAAAGTAGGTTTGGTAAGTTATCATTTGGATAAAACAGGAGAAACAAAACACATCTTTCTATTATATACACACACTTGCAGTTTGAGTTCAGAGGCAGTCAGCTGGCAGAACTTCTTGTTTGTGTAAGGTCAATGTTTTATATTAAGGCCCTCAACTAACTGGATGGGGCCCATCCACATTGTGGAGAGTAATCTGCTTTACTCAAAGTCCAACTATTAAGTGTTAATCTTATCCAAAAAGCACCCTCATAGAATATCCAAAATCATGTTCAGCCACATACCTGAGCACTGTGGCCCAGCCACCTTAACACAAAACATTAACCAGCACAGTTGTGTTTTCTTCCTTAGGTTTGTAACTTTATGAAGCAGGGAGGAGCTAGGAGGGACAAGTCCATGCCATCTTGTCTGAATCTCTCCCTCTCATTTCTTAAGGGTGGTTTCACTGGTTCTGAAATTCTAAGTAGATGCTGTTTCCTTTTAGCACTTTAGGATAGTATTCCATGGTCTTCCAGATATTCTTCTGGTTTCTAGTCAGATTTCAGCTGCAATCCATTGTCTGTCTTTTGTTCTCTGGTTGCTTTTAAGGATTCTGGTTTGATTTTCAGTTTTAATATAATGTGACTGGAATTTGTTTTGTCTTATATTGTTGTCCCACTTTGTAGTGAGTTTATAGAGAAAGCATCTTGAATCTGTAGACTTCATAAACTTTCATTAGCTTTGGAAAATTCTCAGGAACCTTCTCTTCAAATAACACATCTTTTTGAACCTCTTTTTCTTCCTGTGACTATAATCACACACATTAGTTAGACCTTCTTACTGTATTGTTCAAGTCAGATATTCTCTCTTCTGGTTTTACATCCTTTTGTTTCCTCATACTTCATTCTGGATATTTTTCTGACCTAGATCAGAGAGATTCTTTTTTCAATTTCTTTTCTCATTGTGTATATTAAATGTCATTAAACATATATTTAAGTTTTTAAATTTTTGTAACTGTATTTTTCTATTGCAAATTTTCTTTTACTTAATTTCAACTTTTATTTTAGATCCAGGGGGATAGATGTGCAGGTTTTTCATATGATAAATTTTCTGTTTTACTATTTTTTAGTGGTCCTGATTTTTCTGCCTAAATTCCTAATCTTTTCCTTTATCTCCTAAATGTAGTAACATGTAGTTATTTTTAAATCTGTATCTGATAACTCCGTATCGGGACTCTGTAGGTCTGTTTATGTTTTCCATTTCTTCTGTTCCTTTATGTTTATTTCTTCTCATCTACACTTGTACACAGTTATTTTCTTCTAGCGAGGATGTATATTTGTTTCTGTCAGGTGCCCACAGTATCAGCAAGCTTGCATGCATTAGGGATTTCAGAATTGGGACAGTTTGAAGCTAAGCTGCAGTTCCTACACAGGCTTTCTATATCCAGTTCACTCTTACTTAATAAAGACTTTCTGAGATTCCAACTCAAACTGTTTTTCAATAGGATTCCTCCCCTTGTCATGCCTTTCCTATCTCACTATCTCCAAGGGAACTGTCAAAAGTGCTGTTCTGCTTCACAAATTGTTAAGTATCCCAGGAAGAAAACTGGCCTCAAATGCTATTCTCACCTTCTTGGACCACTGTGCCCCATAATGGGCTCTGGCTCTTTTTATCTCTATAATGGCTTTAAAGAGACATATCTTATTATTTTTCTCTCATATTTTATTCACCTTTTATAGATGTCCTCAGAGGAAGGATATCCCAATTGTTTGATCTGCCATTAATAGATATACTCTTCTGCTGTATTAATGGGGGGGGGTGACAGGTAGAGTGGGGAGGGTTATATGATTATGGTCCTTGGATTGTCCAACCCTATATTCCTAATTCAATGTATATAATAGCAAATATACCATATTTATTAGAAGCCACATACTGTTTTAAGAACTTTGCATATTTAACCTAACATAGTCCTCATAACATTAGGAAGCAGGTACTATTATTAATCTTCTTTTACAAAGAAGAAAACTGAAGCCATGAGAAAGTAAATAACATGCCCAAGATCATCCAACTTAACTGCCTCCAAAGACCATGCTCTTAACCATCAAGGAAAACTACACCTAGTTAAAATTACTCAAAATCATATTAATCAGCCAGCCAGAAATGATACATAATTGTCTTCTAACAAAAATAGAAAAATTAAAATAATATTTAAAATAATTTAAATGTCATATATGGGTTCTTAATCTCTATTTTGATACCCACCTTTGCAAACTATCTTAAGCCAGGAGAAAAGATTTGTATCCAGCTGGACATGCAAAGTTGCCCAATGCACAAGCCTAATATATCCTTTATGAGATGCAAAAGGGAAGGATATTTTGGAGAGGATCAAATCTGCTCTGAACATCTAAACTGAAACTAGGCCGCAGGGAAAAGAATTAACATGCAATGCTTCTACCTTTCATGAGCACTTTCATAACCACTTCCACCATGAACCCATGGATCTTCAAATTGCAAAGGATGACTTCATTGCGTCACTCATAATACTACAGCTCACTGAAAAAAAGCTAACAAGAAAAAAAGGACCATGTTTGGATATCAGGTTTAATACTCATAAATCATTAAATATTATATAATATTAAGGATTAATTTTAACAAAAATACTTCTAGTAAAATGTGTTAGATTAAAACATTCATTTCCTATGCTATCTCTCAAACTCTACAAAAACAATGGAAAAAACTCTCAAAAGTTATTTTTTAAAAAAATCCCTCAGGGACAAAGAAACAGAAAGAGACAAGAAGAAGAAGAATGTCAACAAAATTTTAAAAGCTGGAAGAACACAGATTAAGGATAACTGACTTGGTAGAATGAAAAAAACTAAAATCTAAGTTTGCAGAGTGGAAAGGCAACAAAATAATGACTATTTGTTTCACAAGAGCTAAAAGGGTTAAAAAAAATTTGGAGTCACCAGGGTCCTCCAAAAATGAAGATAAAGGGTGAAGTAGAAAGATAACTTCTTCTCAGGAGAGACTGGTCTAGAGAAGCTCTGGATTCAAAGACACCAGGCATAGCTGAGCAGTGTAGTGTCACACTAAAAATAGGAAGGATTCATTAAAAATCGACATCAAGAACATTGAGGCCTCTGACTCACTGCCCATACTTGTTTCCCAAGATAGTGGCATTTAGTTAGGTTACACTTGAGCAGCAGACTAAAACATTTCTTTAACAAAAAAAAAGCCTGATATGTTTAAATGAAAGCCCTGGAGATACTAACTTTGGAAATTTTCCCAACTAGGGAGTAGCCAGGAAGCAGCTTGCTTTATTCCATGATGAATCCCGACCTCCCCACTCATTAACATGCCTCCAATTAGCATTTTATTGCTTATTCTTAAATATGAGTAAACAGCCCAAGATTATTAGATATTTGAGGAAGCCTCCAACTTGAAAGACAAAGAACAAAACTAACCAACAGGATAACAGAAGAAATGAGTATAACTCTCAGAGTTGAAGAAAACCTAAAAAAAAAAAACCTGATATCCAGATATATCAGAAGATACTGATTCTATCCATGAAAAAGAAACAGGATGCTAAACTGAAAAACAAATATTTAGGTATTGAACAAGAATATACTTACGGAAGTTGAAAACATAATGACAATAAATAATTCAATAAAAAGCTTGGAAGATGACATTGAGGCAACATCCCACAAACAAAGAGAAAATCGGTGGTTAAAAGAAGAAAGTTAAGAAATATAGAAAGAGATAATGGAGAGGATTGAGAAGAACAAATTATTTTTTTAATTATACAAAAATTCCTCAAACTGAGAAATACTAATTTCCAGATTAAAAGGATCCACTGAGTCTCCAATGCAATGAATTAAATATGACATCAAGATATATCAAAGAAAATTTTAGAACACCTGGGATAAATAATAACAACAAAATATGCTACCATTTATTGCATTCTATGGGTAAAGAACTGCTTAAATATTTATGTGTATTGATCCATTTAACTGTCACAGACCTAAGGAGCTAGAAATAACTATTATTTGCAGATGAGTAAATGGAAGCAAAAAAAAGACTAAGTAACTCGTTAAAGCAAACACGTTTATGAAATAGGAGATAGTAATATGAAATGAGCTGAGCTGTTTGGTTACAGGGGAGGTCTCTTAACATCAGCATTGTTTTCACTGGAAACAAATATAAAAACAAAGTCAAATTTTTCCTCAATGAAGAATGGCTGAATAAATTTGAGAATGCCTACTCCTTAGAAAATGATGCAGCTTTTATCATTTTTAAATAAAATATCAACAAAGTTTCAAATGGAGCTTTAAAACTGAGTTATTCCAAGTGAGTTCCAGTAATGGAAAAGTAGATTGTATTATATTAGCCCTTCTAGAGATAACAATTATAAACTATGAAAAAATATAAAATAAGTACTTGAAGGCACTAGAGAGAAGCCAAAAGAAGACAGATGTTTGAGGAATTTGACCCTTAAAAAAGGGGAAACATATGCACTGGGTAAGATCCATATTTATAATGCTTCTCCACAAAAATAGTCACCAGTCTATGTAACTAGAACTCATGAAGTATCAGAGAATGGAGTTCAGGGTTGCCAGGGTAGCTAGAAATTGAGGTGGTGGTGGGGACCCAGAAAGAAAGGAGTCAGAGGAGATCTCAAAAATCTACCTGCAAGTTTCCTTCAAAACCTTGTCTGACCCCAGACCTGTGTATGTGTGAGAGAAATGTCAAGGAGGCCAGTGAACAGTGAAAAATCTGAGCAGAGATTTCAGCTGCTGCCCTTCACAGGAAAGAAGAGTGTGGTGTAGAGGCCTAACAAGTTAGAAGGTCTTAATAAATATCTCAAGCTTTCCTGTGAAACAGGAGTTTATGAGTACAGACTATATCCCGGGTGTAACATACTCACCATAAGTCTAAGGACAAAACCTGAAGGAGCTCCTTTCCAACAAAATGTAAAATGAGGCTCTATAAAATGAAGATGATTTAACTGCCTTAAAAAAGAAAACTCAATACTCTTTAGAAGAAAGAAAACTACAGAAACCAGAGTCTTTGTGCTATATCCTCCACAATGTCCATTATACAATCAACAATTGCTAGACTCATAAAGAAAGGGGAAAAAAAAGTCACCCAAGGTCAAGAGAAATATCCAGATGTTGGGATTTGCAGGAAAAAGTAAGACAAAAAAATCAGACCAACACATAATTTATAAGAGCTATTATATAAATGAAATAAAAACACTTCCCCAAAAATGACTCTCAAGCTGGATTAAGAAAGGATAACAACTGACTTTATGTTCTTCATATTTAAAACAAAAGGACTCAAAGAATAAAAGATAATACACAAAAACATATCAAACAATATTTTAAAAGAAACTGCAGTATTTGTATCAGTCAATTTGCTACAAAAAATACAAATTTATGTATATCGATCTGTTTCATTGTCATAGACCTAAGAAACTAGAAACTATTATTTGCATTTGAGTAAATAGAAGCAATATATATATATGCATATGGCTACACATATATATGTATAGATATAGATATAGATATACATTTATGTTTTCAAAAATGTTCATTCAGCACCTTCTGAAAGTACGAGGTACATACTGTTGAAAAATCAGACCTGAAGTACATAGAGACCATTGGAATTATTGACAGTAATATTTTTTACATTTCTCTATGTAAGTATTCATTAATTTTATAACCAGAAGCACTATTTATACTATTCATATTAGGAGAAAAAAGCAAATGAAAAATATGATTTCTGAAAAGTAAAACTGGAACATGAGAAAAATTCATCAGTTGTCTATATGTCATAAATGAACCTCCAGGCCTAACTATACAGAGATACAAAAATATCTTACATAACAGCTTCAAGTGTCCATGGTGTCTGACAGCTACAGTCACCTTTTCAAGATATACAACAAACTGTACTGGGTTCAGTTTTTGCTATATATTTTGTATATATTATAGCACACTTAAATAATGCTTGGCACTTAAAAGCACTGTTTATTATTCTCTTCATGCTAATAACACTTGAAATTGTTTTTAAAAATTAAAAAATAATTCTAGATAACTCAGACATAATTTCCGCACATCATTAAAACCTCTGAAAAGACTGTCTCCATTAGCCAACCATGCAGGTCTCAGTGATATTGCTGATGATAATCAGTAATAATGATAGTAGCTATCATTTTTTTGTGGAATGATATTTTGGCAGGTTCTGCTTTAAAGTTTCTCAAGAACCCTTTAAGAGTTATTATATTTCCTCTTCTTTCATTGAGAAAAATTGAGGCAAAAGAGTTACAAAAGTTGACCACTGACTCTGGGCTAGTAAATGGCTATGGGTTGGGGACATTTGGCTTCTGAATTTATGCTCCTAACCTGTTTGCCATCCCACTCTGCTGTTCAAAAGTTGATTATAAGAACTCATGCTGACCAAAGATTTTCCTCCATGCATACAAAAATTATTTTTAAAGGAAAGTCCTAAAGTCCATGCTGTTTTCAAACTTGAACTTAAATCACAAGCCCACATTTATTTAAATTTTAAGTGACATACCAAATCGCAAACAGTTCTATACACTTGAAGTCCTTGGCTAAACCAAAAGATCTAACCCTCACTGCCTTCTAGCACAGGATGCAGCTACAGATAAATGAAAGGTCCCAGAGGCATGTGTCATTAAATCATAGTAAATCTCCAGCTGGTCTGACAGCCCACCTACAAGGGAAAATTGACTGGAAAGAACAATATCCTCAGCTAGTATATACACTTCATCTTTTCTTTGGCAGGAATTAAGATCAGAAAACCTGAAGACATGACATCATTCATTCCATACTGAAAGACCTATCAGTCAGTATGTCATGAACTATAGCATAAGTTAGTTTAAGTTACTGCTGAGACCCAAAGAAAGCCCTGTGATCACATTTCCCTTTGCACAAAGAATAATAAAACATCTGCTGAAATTAAGCTCATAAATAATGCCTGGTTGTATTTGGAGGGGGCAAAAAGAGTTATTTTTTTAATCCAGAAATTTAAATCTGATATTACATCCAAGTTTATATTTTGACTTCCTTTAGCTTCCTTCATTTACAGGAGATGGGAAAAACATACGAATGCCAAGTGAAAATGCCCTTTTAGAGAAGTATTTCCAAATTAAAAGAAAAATCTTTATTAGCCTTAAGCCAGTTCCATGGCCAAAAGAAAATATAAATTATTAAACTCAGGCTTAGCTCTAGCTAAATGAAAATATTAATCTATTTGTATCATTCGAGAAATCTCTGCCATGACACCTGTCAATGTGGAAGAATAGAACAAATTGGAACAATGGTGCCTGCTGCAACCTACAACAGTCCTTCCTGGTACTCACATCCCTGCACATTATTCAATGTGTGTTGGATCTCTCCTTCTTTCCTCTTTCTGGGCAGGGTGAGGACGTCTAGAAGTACCATCATTAGCTAAAGAGGTTTCCCAGGAATAAGAAAAGACCAAACTTCCTGTCTTGTGATATTAGGCCATTCCTA